CTAGTAATTCCATGTGGAAAGAAACATCACTGCCACAGTGGGCTATTAATCTTTAATTTCAATGAGATCTGTAGATTAATGGGGGTAAGTGTGTATGATAAGCTGCAGAAATAGCTGTGCATCTTTTCTGTTGTCTGGAGCTGAGCTTTTCACATCTGGATGGAGGAAGTATGCATAGTACAGGAAACGTATTTTGAATACAGCTAACGCTATCTGACACTCTGGTGATTTTTTTCTTTTGAACGATCATATCTATCTGTTTGGTTAACAGATCAGAAGTAATGCTCAGTCCTTTGCTTAAATTAATAGTCAGAGATAATAGAAGAAATTTGAGTGTCAACAACACTGTCACAGGGAGAATGGTCAACTGGCAATTAAAATCGCTCTCTACAGATACCTTAAAGGAGGCTGTAGTGAGGTGGGGGTTGGCCTGTTCTCCCACGTGCCTGGTGACAGGACAAGGGGGAATGGGCTAAAGTTGCGCCAGGGGAGTTTTAGGTTAGATGTTAGGAAGAACTTTTTTACTGAAAGGGTTGTTAGGCACTGGAACGGGCTGCCCAGGGAGGTGGTGGAGTCACCATCCCTGGAAGTCTTCAAAAGACGTTTAGATGTGGAGCTTAGGGATATGGTTTAGTGGGGACTGTTAGTGTTAGGTCAGAGGTTGGACTCGATGATCTTGAGGTCTCTTCCAACCTAGAAATTCTGTGATTCTGTGATTCTGTAAAAAAAAAATCCTGCAGCACTTTAATTAATTTCTTCTGTCTCTCAATGCCACTGCAAAAAAAAATAAATAAAGGGGGAGGAACGTGAATTAAAGCTCTAATCTTCAAGCAGAGAGAATTATTTTGGGATTACAGTGTTTTTTTCTGAACCTCTTCTTTCAGAGGTTCCTGATTCACTGCCTGAATAGTTTCACTCTCTGTGTCCAGGTCATGGCTTGATCTACAGAAGGATTCCAGGATCCTCTTGTCTTTCCCTTAACATGTTACAGGCTGGAGCAGTTCAGAATTTGATGCTCAAGTGACTAAGCAGTTCCTGAAGGTGTTTTGGAGACCTCCAGCAGAAGAAGTTAAGAGCAGGAAACATTGTGTCATCCACAACTAACAGTGGGAGAATTCAAGAGGATGGTCATGGGCTGCACTGGGAAGAATTTGGAGTAATTTGAAGGGCACAGCAAAGAATATTGATAAGATTGGAAAGAATGTCATGTGTGGAAGAGATACAGTGTTTACGTGTGTTTTTAACACTTCACTGGTTTCTCAGAACAGGCAATTACCTACCTTAAAGGAAAGAAAACTTGCCTTTTGCACATGGAGGGAGGTGTGTGTGTGTTTAAAGGGACAGCATAAGCTTGGAAAATGAAAATTCTGTGGTTTGGGTCATTCAACAACATGTTAAAGAAACAAACACCTACAGTAGTTAAACTGATGTGTGCAATTTAGGGCAAAAATATTAGAAATGTAAAAGGAGCACTGAAACATCTGTTTTATGTCCCAGGCCAAATTAATGTAAGTGAGACTTTCTGCTGTGTAGCTCTTGCTAGAAATACAATAGTATCAGCTCTTGTAGGAGAAATACACAGTCCTTATCTTACCAGGATATGGAGTTACTTGAATTGAGGAGAGGATGAGCCAGCCTGTATTTCAGAGAAAAGAGCTGTGTAGCATATGTGATAACAATTCCTGGGACCATAAGGTAAGAAGATTTTTTTCTCAAATTATTTATGGTCTTCCTAGTCCCCATGAAATTGACTGATCACTGGAAGCAGGAAGTCCAGATGCTTCTCTGTACAGGTTGTGTGGCTTTTGCTCCAGCTATGTGGTGTTCAGGATGCTTCTTTGTGATGTCACTTCTACTAATGTCCACTGTGGTAGCCTTGGTTTGAAATGGTGGTAGAATATATTTTGCTGAGTACTGCTGATTCATAATAGCCTACATGAAATAGTTTTCATTTCACTGGGTAAAGAACACTTTACCCTGCCCCTTTACAGACTTCGTTTGTGAAGATACATTCCAACATAAAGCCACAATTTGTCTGAGTTTCTTAATTGAAGAGCACCCCATGGAAAAAGTCATTTAGGATTGTAACAGATGTATTGCTTTATTTAGGCAAAAACAGTCGTGTTATCTGTCATCTCTCAGCTGATGTAAGAACTCTGAATGGAGCCTTGGCATTATCTGTTTGACAATGATTTGATGCAATACTACACTGCTATAAATTAGTGTCAAGAAGCAAAATGCTAATGATAGGGGCCCCTCTCTGCACTGGTGATTTAAATAGCATATTTCTTTAAAATTCAACACTGACTCACTCTCTTTTAAATAAACCCCCTCCAAGCTATTTAAACAATATGTAGCTCTACTGCATATGTCCTTTGATTCTAAATACTTCAGTGTTTACCTGAAAAACTATCCAGACAACCTTTTGAACACTATGCTGAATAACACTGTGAAAGATATTAATTTGTGTACTTAAAAAAATAAAAATGTGTGAACATTAGAAAAATGGTTGGACTCTGGTTGCTCATGCTCTACAGTGAGCAGAATTGAAGCTGTAAGTGGCTTTCTGTTCTTTCTTGGAGATAATATCAGACATAGGTGAATTCCTGAACAGCATTTAATTTTTTTTCCGTATATTTCAGGACTGTGTTTCATTTTCTTTCATGTAAATAGAGAGGCATTGATTAAAGAATTTCTCATAATTGATGGAATCATTTTCCTTTTGGATTCCCAAATCCTTCAGGCACATAATGGCTAAGCACAGATAAACTCATCGGTACCATCATAGTTTAACCAGCTGAGAATTCAGACACATACATTTAGAAGTGTTTCCTTTGTTGCAGTTTCTAGTGTTGATGAACACTGCTGATGGCATGAAAGCTTGTCTCCAAGTTTTAACTGAAACATTCTATTTTTTTATATCTAGGTATATATGCCAATATATCAACCTCGTCCTTCTTCATTCTTAAACACATACATCTGACACACTCAATGCTATTCAGGACTGAAGTTATTTCCAAGATGGTGCTAATGAAAAAGAAATCACTACCAATTACAATCTATTATGTTTTACTAAGAACTCTCTACTACAGGTCTTATGTACACATTGAAGCATATAAAGAAATGGAAACAGAGTCCTCAAAAAGAAGAAAATATATGTTATCTTTAAGGGTATTTAATAGCAAGTTACATTCCTTACTCATCAGAATAAAACAAAGATTTTAGAGCAATATCTTTTAAAACTGGGTCTTAATAGATGACAAACAAATCCTTCCCAACTCTAAGTACTTCCCATCATCTAAAACTTCATCTTGCCCAGGATAAAAAACTTGTGAGATGGCAAACAAGCTCTGCAGCAAAAGTGAGGGAAAATAACAATGATCCCAAAGATCAAGAAGGCCCTCCTGTTGAGGATATATTATGAAGAATGTATCTTTCAGCTAGGTTATAGGACTTCTGGCCTGAATTTCTCAGGTCATTCATGTATACTCTGGCCTGAAGTTCTCAGGTCATTCATGTATACAAAAAAGAGGCTGTAGAGCCTTTGTAACCATCACTTAAGCTGGTACAGAATTTATCATTTTGAAACAACATCTTAATCTGCACCTGGAAATGAACTGGAAGATAACACTGTTTACAGATCATAAGCATTAAATATCTTGTAAAAAATAGATCATTTCTGTACCAATTAAAAGTCACTGAAAGAGAATCATGAGTAATGTTCTGGCAGAAACAAATCATCATTTGGCATAATCTGCCCTCTGGGTGTTAATATTAAAATCCTGTCTAGGGTCTAAACTGTGGTTCACAAAAAAATTGAAGTATAAATTGTCCTTGTTCCATGACAAGCCCCGTTGTGAACAATGGCATGTCTGGAAACACTCATATTATCAATCCTAAAATCCATGTGTATTTCTCTGAGGAAGGAAATACAGCTACCTGTCACTTCTAGGCAAGATATATATGGCTGAGGAATGACAAGACCATTTTCCTGCATTGTAATTCATATAGGCTGAATTCCTAGTTTAAGTTAACAATTAAATAACCCCAAGTCATCCCCATACCACCCATATCAAAAGTGAAAGGAATCAAAAGATGAAAATGAACCACCACAATGGTTATGCTCCAGTGTCTATGAGGCTACACAATATTTGCACTCAAGAATTCTCCTTTTTCTTTGGTGTTCACTCAATGTAGTTTATATATACTGAACATACAAGCTGTCTTCATGACCACTGAATTCCAATAATTTCTTTGGAAGAAACAAAGAAATATCTATCAAGGGGGTATCTGGTTAATGTCAGGAAGGGTAGCAAGAGTGGGGCCTGTGAACTTCTGAATTTGATGGAGTTAGGAAAATGAGTATAGAAAAAGGTATCAAGATAGATAAAGAAGAGAAGATAGGTAAAGATAAAAAGAAAAGTCAGGAAGAGATGGTAGAAGAAAGGAAAATTAAGGGAATAGGAAAGTAAAGGCATAACAGAAGAGTCATATGAAACAAATCCTCAGATGCCTGAGAGTAGCTCATGATGCCACTTGTGTTGACTACTCCACCTTGATTGTGCAGCATTAGCAGCAACCCTATTGTTGTCCTGCTGTGACTAGAGGAAATATATGGTACTATGCAATTCATTCAAGTGGAAGAGATTGCAAGAGTGCTTAAGGACGAGACAATTAGTTTTATATATATATATATATATGTATATATTTAACTCCTAAGATCTTGTTTCCTTCCCTGCAACAAGTGTACAGTTGATACAGACCTTTTTTCCATCAATGTAATTGTTTGCCCATTGCTCTGTGTCCAACTTTTGTACAGTGTTTTGACTAAATCAGACCTTGGATCTTTTACAGATGTGGGAGAGAGGTCTTGTTCTTCTCCCAGTGCAGAGGCAAACAGAATTAATATATCTCCCTTTGTCTTTTCACTATTTGTATTATTAATTAACTCTCAGAAGAACATAATTAATTCCCCACACTCACACAGTAGCAAACTTTACCTAAGGGTTTCACCAGATGATCCCCTTCTTTTCCACAGGTTCACCAGGCTGCTTGACCGGCTTGCAGCCGAAGATGACTTTCCATCCCCTACGTGCATGCGGACCACAGTCGATGTGGTGAACGCGCTGCGTACATTCCTTTCAGGCTTAGCAAGGATGATATAGACCTTGGGCACAAACATACAGCCAAGGGCCACCGTGGCACTCAGACTCACTGAGAAACACATGGTGATTATCTTGTAGTTGCTTCCAAAATATATTGGCACAAAAGCCAGCCAAATGATGCAGGTGGTATACATTGTAAAGGCAATATACTTCGCTTCGTTGAAATTAGCTGGGACATTTCTTGTCTTAAATGCATAAAAGGTGCAACTCAAAATTAATAATCCATTATATCCAAGGGGAGTTACAACACCCAAGTTGGTGGTGTTACAAATCAGGTAGACCTCTCGGATGCTTGGGTAATCATGCATTATATCAGGTGGCTCCATTATAAAGAGGGCAACAATTATGCCTAATTGTATACATATCAAAATAAATGCAATAACCAGTTGGGCACAGGCACTCATGAACCTAGGTTTCTTTGTACAAATTTTCTTCTTGCTGCCAGCCAGGATTCTTGCAATGCGGTTAGTTTTAGTTACTAGAGCAGAATAACTCATAGCTGGGGAGAGACCTATGCCAATTCGTTGAAGATAACAGTAAATCTGTTGAGGCTTTGCGATGAGACAGAAAGTGCACAAGTAACCCAAGCAGATGCCAGCTAGAATGATATAGCAAAGTTCTCGGCTGGATGATTTGACCACTGGAGTATCGCGGTACATTATGAATATAGCTGTAACAAACAAGGTGGCCAGCAGACCCAGGCATGCAAAAACAACTGCTGCAATTGGTTCAGGATCACCCCATCTGAGATACTGGACTGGGATGAGGTCACAACCTACAGAAAAAAAAAAAAAAAAAAAAAAAAAAAAAACAGAAGGTAAATTGAGGTATGCAAATTACAAATGACTTCACAATTTAGGACTTAAACAATCAGAGATTGCTTGCTGTTGGCTGGGTTAGACAGAAAGGGGTCAGCCTGCCTCAGGGTGGGTGGTGATAAGGGAGTTTTTCCCTATGGAGAAGGAGTGCTGGGCCTTTACCTGTCTATTCTCAGCAGTGAGGGTACTCTGGACGTCAACCAGTCCAAATAAATTAGGGAGTCTGGGACCTCAGTATCTTGATGATCAGGAATAAATGTAGGCATCATTTCTGGGGGGGAATTTCTACATGAAAGAAGTCTAGTCCTTCCCTTTTATTTTCAGTGGAGCTTAAAGTATTTTCAAGGCTGTAACTGATATTCTTAATGGTAAAAATCTTTCAATGAAAATGATATTAATATTACAATTAGATCTTCTGTCATTTCATTATTTCTGTATTCTACATTTCTATACAATTAATGCTATAAAAATATAAGCAACCAAAATACACTGTTACAATCAATAGATTTTGTGGCAACAGTAGAAGGCAAATAATTCTGCATTCCTGTAGAAACATCAGGAGAACTGGAGTAATTAAATCTTTGACATTACTGCAGTTACAGGATACACTTTTGCAGTCAATTCAGAGTAACAAAATTTTGCTCTTAGTTAGTGAAAGCAGATTTACTTTCCATTTGTATTTTAACTGCTTTGGTGTGAAAAGCTTTCTGTTGTAATAATAAAGTTATCACTATGTCTTAATGTAACAAAGACATTTAGATTTTCATGAAACACTCCCATGAGCATTCACTGATAATATCTATTTGACTCCTTTTGGTTTTAAAAGGTTTACTTATACAGAGTGAGGGAGACAACAAGGTATTTCATTCTGACTTCATCAAGATTAATGTAGCACAGGAATGGCATCATTAAAATTAGTTTATACCAGTGGGAGAAAGGTGAATACCAGAAAGCATACTCTGGTGTGTGAAGATATACCCCATGTGGGTTCTTCCACAAGCTTTATGAATGTGACCTCTAAATCCATTTCCAGATTCACCAAAATTTAATAAATGTTTTGGAGAAACAATTTGTTACTAGCTTCTAATGTTACTATAGATTCTTGGACAGGAAATTTGAAGAGAAAACATTTTTACCTGACAACTGGCCTTTACAAGCAGACAATGATATAGAGTCTGACTTTTGCACAGTTTCTAACACTGCAACAGAGGTGAAACATAGCCAAGCATTTCTCACTATTTTCAGAATATTTCATACCTTCCTTGTTTCATTACCCTTTTACCTTCTCTTAATAAAATACCTCAGAAAAGAGATGAAAACTTTTTTTTTTTTTTTCCCTCCATCACTTGTTGTATTTTGCAAGGGGAAAATGGGAATGTTAAACTATGCAATGATTTATTCTTTAATTAAAATTTAAGAACTAGATATTCTTTATAAAACAATGATTGGTGTGGTTTTCATATAACAGTTTTGCAGTTAATCATTTCTAACATCACTTTGCAGAAAGAGGCAACCGGATCAAGTAAAAGACATATGGTAAAACAGCACTGTCACTGTTCAGATCGGGCTGATGAACAACATAATACCAAGGCAAATGATGAAAAATACTAACAAAAAAGCTCATTGATATCTCCTAAATAAGTGTATACTCAATGGTCATTTAGACAAGATTCTGCTCCACAAACCAGATCTTACACTTCATCAACATCTCCAAGCACCTGCAAAGTCTTCTCTCCTTGCTGGCTCATAAACTGCAGGTGGAACAGAGCCAGCAGCCCTGTCTTGTGGTCTGCAGTGTACTAAGGTAATCTTTCACTTCTGGAAATGCAGTTAGGAGCCAGTCCAATTTGGAGCAGGTGTAGAGCTGTTGTACTTTGTGCTCAGGAGTGTTCTGCTTCTGGGACCAGAGCCCCAGTAAAATTGGCATAAAACTATCTCTATGTTTCTCTAGCCAGAGACATAGCCAGTGGGAGTAAGGTACTCATCCATGTGAATAGCAAGAGAAGAAGATATAAAATGTCAGAGTCCTATTTGACACACTAGGGAAAGGCTTTCAAAAAAGGAGCATTAAATATATATATATATATTTACATATATATATGAGGAAGATTTCCCTGGGTAGGAAATAATAATAATAATAATAATAATAATAATAATGAAAAAAAAATCTGTTATTGCAGAAGAATATCTAGCTTCTGTAAGGGTGGGCTAAATTGTGGCACAAATGAGATGAGAGCCCTTGAAGGCTTGAACACTGTCATAAGTTTGTTAGTATCCTTTGCTCTCTCTGTAGAGCTAAACTTATCACTTCTGATCTTTCATATTGCTTTAAAATTAGTTCATCTGGGATAAGAGTTCACAGATGCGAAGCACTGTGGTATTGTCCCCATTTTCTGTGGATTTGACATTGTTTTAATGTGTTATTACAGCCTCGACACCTAAGAGATTTTACTGTGTCTTAACCATCCATAAATAAATCTTGAAAATAACTTTAGTAGTAGGCAATATAAAATATATAATTAAACTATTTCTAAAGATAAGCATCACAAACTAAGGCTTGTGAATAGGATACATTCTGCAAAGTGAAAGGAATTCAGTGAAATCCCTTAAGTCAGCATTATGAACGAAAGTTCACTGACTCTGCAAATGTAGAGGAAAAACGAGCAGCAAATTCTGCTGTTTTGTATGTTTTAGCGGATTAAGGCATCCTGGACTGTGAGTTAAACACCTTAACATAATACTTGTTTTTTTTTTCTTTGCTTTTCACAGATTCTTTCATGAATATTAGGAGTTCAAACGCCAAGGCTAAAACCTAAACAACATAGCAACTTCTTAGTTGAAAGAGATTCTCCACATAGGGCTTAGCACACATTATTAAAGTGTATTGATGCCATGCTATTCTGAGAGGGGACATTTTTAACATTTCATTACTAACTTGTGGTAGCTTTAGCTTTGGTAATTTGAAATATTATAATCAATAGCTATTCGTCTTGTTCTGGTGGGACCTCTCATAATTGCTAAAACAGGAAAGCATATAGAGGTGACCATGTGTTGGCTAGGACCTGCTGCAGGTCCTAGGTTGGCACATTTACTATCCATGAAAGGTGGGTTTGTGTGGTCAATGGGTGTGGCTGAGAGCTGAGCATGTCTCTTCTGCATCCTCAGCAGAGTAGGAGCTGGGATCTGTCACATCCTAAACTACAACAGCTGGGGCCTCTGCATCTCAGGAGGTTTATTTCAAGCAAGTCAACTATAATGATTTAACTCTGCATTATAGCAAAAGGCAAGGCCATGAATAGTTAAAGTTTCTCTGCTATCACATGAGGAATGATTCCTTAATAAGAAATGTGCAGGGTGACAAATGATGAATTGCAACAATTTGGTACATCCATATGTTAGCTCTAATGTTTTGATTTAAATTTCACCCCCAAAAAATGCTGTCTTCATGAGTCTTAAATGTTTTGTTCAGAATATGTCATGATCAGCAAACTTTCCATAATGTAAGGAACAATTACAAGTGGATCCTTCTGGCTTTCTTGACAAGTCCCCCCTCATACAGCTCAGGAACCTCTAAGAGCTGTTCTTTGAGCTCAACGTTCTTGAACCAGCTCACATTGGCATGAAGTGCTGTGTGGCTCATGCTAGATACTTGGAATTTAAATAGATTAGAATCTAAAGTCCTTATCTTACGTGAAACAAGAAACTGAGGGAAGAAAAGTCCACAAATCCAATGACAAGGGAAGTGAGAAAATGACAGACAGAGATCCTTGTCATAATATTGCCACCTGAACACTTAAATCATCCTCATCTGCCTTTTCCCAACAGGCTGATGTGAGAAGGAATTACTGAAATGGCTACATTTCATTTGGAATAAAAAAGTAAAAGGAAAGGCAGGACATGGAGGATCAGGATGAAAATTAGATTTTAACTCTTCTGAAGCATATCTATAATGCTGAAATCATCCTGACAAAAAATAGTGTCCTTCTTCTACCTTCTAATCTGAATTATAGTCTTAGTAATTATGATCAAAAGCAGGATCTTAATAATGTTTCAGCAGAAAAATCAATGTCAGCACAGGCTAAATTTTGTTCTGCCTTATGCTCACAACTGTCAGACAATTGCTGAAATTACCAATGGTTATAACTTTATTACAAGCTGTGATAGAAGAAAGCCATTTCACAGCAGCAAGCATTTACATTAGGAAAATATTTCAGGCACAGATATGAATGTTATTTTTCATTCAGGTTCTGAACTTATGAGACATCCAGGCTTCAGACCCCCCCACATCACAGCCCAGATTGGCAGGTTGCAGGAAGAAGCAGCCAACCCCTGCAAGGAAGTGCCATATTTCAATGTGAATATTGCCCCTGCTCTTAGCCCCATGGGCAGTGTGCACCAGGACTCCTGGAGCTCCTGGAGCTACCTGTTTTCTGCTGATCTCACTAACAGCCCACGCAATGCTTGCAGGATGAGGGGGCCATTCCTTTGCATTTCTCAGTGTAGACCAGTGCAAGCCTAGGCTTGGGAAAGAGCATGCTGTGAACAGGATACAGGACCAGTGTGTTCAGAGCCCACTGAAATGACTGTGTCACTTAGAGGTGGTGTCATTTTTTCAGTCCTTTCTGTTCAGGGATTGTTTGGATGCTGCAGTTCTTACCTGGCACTTTCAAATAAGAAGCTTAGATCATAATGCTACTGTTGTGGGCATATTGCATCTTGTCAGGTAAAGGATTCTTTAGTGACTATAGCAAAATATATATTTGTGACTGTAAATTAACACCTAATACAATAATTTAACATAATAATTTTTGTGACTATAGCCTTATCCATGAACGACAAAGAAAACTTTTCAAGAACTGTTAAATACTTCAGCTCCTATGTTCATTTGAATCTAAGTAAGAAAATCAAATAACCAGCATATTTGGAGTACACAAGGAGTGAGGAAAATGGCACTGACAAAGCTATGGACTGCTGGTTTGTTTGTCTGGTCTTCCCAAGGTACCCCTTCTGAATGCAGAAGGTCATGTCCTCAAAGTAAGCTGTTTTTCTTGGAGAACCAAAAAGCTGTCCTCATCAGTCTACTGAAAAATTCATTGCATTGAGATTTGGATCAGAGATGTTAAGAAAATCACTTAATTTACATCTAAATACACCTAGCATTCATTTCTTTTCCTTCTGCTGTGAAAGTAACATCATGAGAAAGTAACATCATGAGGAAAGTAACATCATGAAGTAACATCATGAGCATATGATTCTGGACATCAAACCATGAGTTTCTCCTGCTATAATTGAATATGGCTCAGCCACCCTAGTTGACTCCTGTGTGAAGTAGTGCTGTCAGGTATGGGTGTTTTTAACACAATGCATGAGGAAGAAAGGGAGCTACAGTAGATTGAAAAATACGTCTTGACACTAAGGCAGGAGGAAGAAATGGACTTGGAGTTCATTTTGAGATGGTATACGTAGACTGGGGAGAAAAGGAAAAGATAATTAAGTCTGTGTTCAAGGAAGAGCCTATGCCCTGGGGAACATTTTGTGCACAAGGGATGAGACAAACATTTAAGAGGAAATAAAATACTGGCAGCAAAACATTGGTTTTCTAGCCTCAGCTTCTTTTCTAGATGGACATATTTTCCAGTAACTGATTTAATCAAGAGAAACTCTTCCTCCCACTTGTCTTTCCCTTTGGACTTGCTAAGCCTTATTGTACTTGAGATCTCACAGCTCTTTTTCTGTTCTGAGAACAACTTTGTTTTCCTACACATATTGCATCCCTTCTGTCTTCTCCCCTCCTGCATCTGAATTCTGATATTCCACAGGTGGCTGAAAAAAACAACACTAAACTCTGTTTCTTTCTGTGTGCAACATCCTAGCCATTACCTGTTTTATATATTGATGTTTGTGGCACAAAAGTGATGCTGGTCACTGAGCACAAGAAAGATGAAGTAATGTTTTGTTGTGTGAGCCAAGAAAGGATTCCAAAAATGTTTTTATCCAAGTTTAGATCTCTGGCAGACAGTGAGGTGCTGCTCCACATTGAAAGCCTTTTCAGTTGCATGGATGATATATTTACTGGAGATGCAAAACCAGGACTCTCATATGAAAGTGACAATGCAAGGAAGACTTACTCTAATGAGTTTTTTATGTGTAGCTTTGTGGAGCTAACCTAACCTAAGATATGGCTTTATTTGGCAGCAAAGAGGCATGGACTGCTGCAGTATCAGATGTAGGGATATTTCAAGGAGACTGGTGTATGCTTTATAAAAATAACATTTTTATTTTTTTAATATATTTTTTATTTTTTTTTCCTGATTAGAATACAAAGTACACCTCCCTCTCCTCACTTTTAATTCACATGTATTACTAAATTTTATGCTGCAAACAAGGTTAGACTGAGAGGCAGTTTCTTTACAAGCTGAAAAAGTTGGGGCTATAAATATGATCATAAAAATATACAGCTCAATATATTATATGGATAAACAGGGAATAGAATTTTTAAAATCTGTTTTTGATACAAGGCTAAATAAGACCAGATCCAGCCATCATGTGAACTGTAATTTAGATGGGAACTACAGAGCCATGAAGCTATGATGGTGGGTGTCCTGTTACCAGGAATGCATACAGCAGTACTCGTGGAAGCTTAAAAGGGTTCAGTGTCCAAATACTGTCTGCTGAATTTGTTCCTGGCTGAAGAGCAAGGGCTAGATCTGCTGAGGAGCATTGCTTGGCACTGATGTCTAAGAGGTTATGTGTGCGTGTCAGCTTTGGTCCCCGTAGGACAACACATAAAATGCATGTCTAAAGCCAGATGAATGGTTTGCAAAATGTAGCAGCACATATATTATACGAAGCAGTTGGCTTGACTAAAGATATCTACTTTCCTTTAAAATAACAGAGCTAGGTAGAAAATTGTTTATTCATCCCACAGGGCCTTTCAAAGTGCCACCTTCTCCTGCTCTTCCATCCTGAGGGCAAAATTTACCTTCAAAAGGTAAATCCTCCCACAAGCCGAGATTAATGCCTTGGCTGAGGCCAAGACCTGCATGCCCCAGGTAACCAGCAGAAAGCATTGAACCCCAAGGCTACCCTGGTGGCTGTTCTCTTCGCTTTGTCTTATGCACAGTTCATACAGGCTAATTACCCCAAATTCTCTGAGTCAGTGGGCAGTTCCCATAACCCATGTTTCAGAACTGGACTCTCTGCTGATCAGATTAAGCACTTAGAGCTTTCCCTCCTTACCTAGTTAGTAGCTGCTGATCTAGTTGATCTACTTTGGCAAAAATTCAGGTGCTCATTGAAACAAAGATGTGATGTGGGATCTGCCACATGTCAGACGAGTCCTGGTGTTTGAAGACTTGACTGTTTGCAATAGTTGACCTTCATAAATTAACCAGGCTTGACCAGGCCTGGTCCCTGCAATGTTGAATCTTGGATTCTGATGGATGGCCTAGCTAGAATGTGAACCTGAGTTTACACTATGCCCTGTGTAGTCTGCACGGCCTGTTTGGAGCACTCCTACTGACAGAAGCAGTAATTGCAACTACTAGTTCAGAGTAAAAAGGAGATATTTCACAACACTTTTGTGCCTGCTTGGGAAGAAAATAAAACCATCTAAAATCTCATCTCCCTTAATAACTTTTCCAATGATAACTTATTTTTTCTACCTGTTTGATGAAGCTTGTGATCTACATCACCTATTTGGTGTTAGGACAGCTTTGAATTCAAAACCAGGATTAGATTTTTTATTTCTAGCTCCAGTAATTCATGCCTTTAGAGAACAGCTCAATTTAATGAGACTCCTGGATCTCAAGGCAAGATGACAAATACCAGTCTTAGTTCAAATTTCAGTTTTGTCCCTCAGCTCAATCTGATTGAAAAAGTCCTGCTATTCACTTACATATGGCTTTTGTTTCTTCATCTTAACAGATGAACATTTTAATTGACAACATAAACACATCCATAACCTATTTACCTGTAAGTTCATCATTGGGCCAGGAGCCGAGCTGGCAGGCCTTGCATGTGTATTCATCAAAGACGTACTCATTCTCTTTACAAGGGGTGCAGGTCCAACAGCAACTGACTTCTCCTTTACGGATCACCTGAGACAAGAAGCAACATTTGGTTTAGCAACACGAATATATACATTCCTGCTGCCCCTGTTGCTAATTTGATTTTTTTTTTTTTTGAGAGAGATTTTTTATCTTTTATTTTAAAGATAACTCCTCTTCATGATATGTTTGCTTATCCAAAACCATGACCCAAGTTCTCAGTTTTCACACCACATAAGTACCAGTAGAAAAAAAAACATCTACTGAACAGAAGTATAGATGGGGTTACAGAACCACAACCTGTGACTTATCCCTCTCTTTGAAAAAATTAGTAAAATTCAAAATTTCATAAATGTCAATGTGCAAACAGAAACCAATGCATGATACTCAAGGCATATAATTCACTGCATTGTGGTTAATACAGGGAATCACGTCACCAACATCATTTAAAAGAATCACAGAATGATTGAGGTTGGAAGGGCTCTCTGGAGGCTATCTGGTCCAACTTGCCCTGCTCAGGCAGGTAAACCCAGAGCATGTGGACCAGGACTTCAAAAGCCCATGGGGTTTTCCAAGGGAGGAGACTCCACAACCTCTCTGGATAACCCGTGCCAGTGCTCTGTCACCCCCACAGAACAGAAATGCTTCCTTAAGTCTTGTGTTCTTGTCTACACCCATTGCCTCTTGTCCTGTCACTGGGCACCACTGAGAAGAGCTTGAGTGTTCATTACCCAAAGATTTTTGGGCAGTTGTTTTTCATCCACTTGTGAGTAATTTTCTAAAACAGATTTTTTTCCAAACATTAAACTGAGCATCCTCTTCCAGAATCATTTAGATTACTGCATTTCTAATTAACATTTAGGAGTGAGAATGTTATCTTCATCCATTTTAACATCTGACCTGATTTCTCGTTTTATAATGTGCTACCAAATGACATTGCATACTCATGATTGAGATGTAGATTTTTCAAGATCATTATTTATCATCTCTGGGCATTGAAAACATCTGTGCTTCTTGTCAATATGTATTTCTTTTGAAAGAAAAGTATTCCCAGTCTCTCTGTTCTTTCCAAACAATTTATAAACAAATAGTTGAAATTATTGCATAAGAAGTAGGTTGACTTACATTTTGGGTGGCTGTTTTTTTTGTTTGTTTGTTTGTTTGTTTTGTTTTTGTTTTGTTTTGTTTTGTTTCATTTTTTAATGATGAATTTAGAAGGGGACTTCAACACCAAATGCCTTTTTATAATAATTTCAATAAATGAAATGCAAAGGAGTGTAACCAAAAAGGACTTTATTGCTCATATTGCTTTTTACAATACAGTAGTGAAAAAATGTTTAATTTACATTTTTTCATCAGCAACATGAGGACCTGAAAACTACAATTTGGGGTTTTGTTTTTAAAATTGTAGAGCATGAAAAAGAGGTAAAAATCACCTGAATAGCTAAACTTGGAGAAAAGCAGCAAGAGCATAAATGATTTGTTCTATAAGGGTTTAGACTACAGTTACTTGCAAAGCAGCATATCTGTCCTCCGGAAAAAATCACATCTTTGGATTTGTTCTAGTTCAAAATTAAAGAAAAAAAAAAACAAAAACTTGATCTTTTTAAATATATTGTGTTTGGGAAAACAAATTTTCAGAAAACTTATACTAATTTTTAGACATTTTGGTAAATGATGCATTATAAAAATCATCATTTTACACCATCTAAAGCACTCAAGAAAGTGAAATGTTAAAATAGAAACCATATGGTATTATTAAAACAATTTTATCAAAGCAATTCATTTACAGCTTTCTATTAAACTTTTCAACAAACCAACTTCTTAAATTTCTTCTAAAAGACTTAGAATTTCACAAATCTGTCAGAAAACTAGTACACTGAGTATTTTTTTTTTTTTCCCAGCTCTAACTGTGATTATGTATCTTTCTCTAGGAATCAAAAAAATTGTTCTCAACCACTCAGAATCATGTCAGATACTTTGTATATAATCATTTAGCCTTCATCCTTTTATTTGTCATTTCTTGAACATTTTTGTGTGAACACTTTTAACAATGAAGCAATCTTTTCCATCCCTTTAAAAAAAATTAAAATAATAATAAAAAAATATTTCACACTATTCTTCTCATTGTCTAATTCTTTGAACCTGTACGTGTTTGAATAATCGTATGTCTTTACATTATTTCAAATGTATAGAGTTAGGTAGTGTTTGGATTTTATCCTGTCTTGCAGATGGATATACCAAATACTGCTGAGTAATAGCATATTATTACATGAAGCTTTCAAATTCCTCCATAATAACTCATTTCCACAGGATTCTGTAAGAAAACAACCATGGAGTTACTCAGGGTCAAGCTTTCCCCACCATCTGTGAATGCAATAAAGATAAGGGATTGTAACATAAACTTTGAGATTTATAGTCAACAGCCTAAAGCAGAGCATAAAGAAAACTTCAGATACCGGACTTCAAGTATATGTACATGTATAAGTGTGTGATGAACTGCCTTGACAGAGAAGAATCCTCCTGGGAGTTTCCTTGAAAGCATAAGCAGAAGGTGGAAGGAACCTTAATGAAGGTTGATGAAGACACCTCCCATCAACTGAGCTGTGGACACATTGTAAAGGATCTCAGAGACACCCTGTTCTGAAATAATATCTGTTTGTCCATATCTATCCTCTCAAATATATGTATTTGTATCTGGAGAAGGTTAGCATGCTGTAAAACTATGATTAATTACTGTGGGTGTAATTCATCCCACTTTCCTTTATGTGTCTGCTGAAAGTGTGTTCTTACCTGAACCAATTGTCCCACAGTGAAAAGAAGTGCTTCTATATCAAGATTCGTCTTTTCTATTTTTGAATCCTAACTGAGAATAAGAGGACTCCTGATCTTGAAAAATCTACGTATCACCACTGACTATAAAGAAAGTTTGAAAATCTCATATAACTTTATATGCATGCACTGGAGACACATGCATTCAATCTGATGAAACTCGTTTACTGGCTGCCAAAGACCAGCCAGTGAATAAATGATGGTAACTGTCCTAAAACTGTAAAAGACTGAGAAGAGTTTCACCCTCTGTGTTGCAGAGCACGGTCAGCCTCCCATCAGCCCCTGCTCATATTCCAGTGAAATGTCAGAAATTAAAATTGCCTTCCTCCCCCCACCCAATCTTAGCCACTCTGTTGTCCCTACTCATCCCTTCAGTCCATGAATTTTCATGTAAATGTCTGCAAGGTAAGCCAAGGACTTGCAGCATTTTTAGATCATTAGTGTCACAAGATGCTGAAGAATAACAGAATACCATTAATATATGACAGATTTGTGCAGTCCCACTCCTTAAACCAACAAGGAAAGGGAGGAAGGAAAAATCTAAAACCTAAAGAAGAAATTAAATGATAAAAAGGGTATGATTATAAATAAATAAATAAATAAATAAATAAATAAATAAATAAAATGTTACTTACTAAAATTTACTTACTTTTCCTGTAGTTCTAAGTAGCAGTAGTTAATGATGTTCTCTGAAGATACCACAGATGCAAGGTCTGAGTAATAATGTCCCAGTTTAGGTGCCTATGTCTAGCACTGAATTAGTAGCAATTATTACTTATGAATTACCTGCAATTGTACTGACAAGTCCCAGTCAGGGATTTGCACTCCGCTGAATCAGATATTAACAAAATATGAAACAAAATGAAATAAAACAAACAAAAAAAGCAAAACCTGCTCTAAAGCATTTGGAATGAAAGAATAAAAAAGGTAACAAGAAAATAGCAATTCATGAAAACAGTGAGAACACTATGACCCGAGTAAGAACTATGTACATAAGTTTGTACACTTTAATTAAGATGTAGGTTACTGTCTCCATGCAAGAGTCAGAAAAATCCTGTTTTCAAATTTCATGGCTATGCAAACAACTGAAATAAAAGGAGAAAATATTTACCTTTATCTGGCCTTTTTCACAGGGTTCACTGCACACAGATCTGATGATATTATTTTTCTCTGACCATATTTCATCATCATCCATTTTCAGCTCACCATTGTCCCAGCTGCCAACATTGATATAATCAAAGTAGTCTTTCCCCATTTTCTTAAAATTCATGATTTCGTATCTTTGGAAACACAAAGGGAAAATAAGCTGAGTTTAGGAGAGCATCATCTGATCTAGTGAGAGATGTCTCTGTCCATGGCAGGGGTGTTGGATTAGATGTTGTTTTAAAGGTGCATTCTAATCCAAACCATTCTCTGATTTTATGATCACAAAATGTTTCATATTAAAATAACACCATACAGTCAACATCAAGCTCATTAAAAGTAAATGAAAAATTTTCAGCATTATGTTTGTCCTTGATGTTCTCCCAATATATATATATATGCATATATATATATATATATTTGTTGTTGTTGTTGTTGTTTTTACGATCTTTCTTTTCCTTTTGCATTTTAATTTATTTTCTTCTGAGATCCTGAAAATTCACTGAACCCTCAGAGGCTAAATGACTGAGCTCTTTAGACTGTTTATTTTTTTACAGAAAACAATGAAACAAGACAAGATTCACACTCTTTAGGCATTGAAATGTACTAAGTAGGGAACCTCAGCTATTCTATTTCCCTTTTATAGCAGATGCAGAGAAATCTAAACACATGATGGTGATTCCCAATATCAGATGCTCCTCACTGTCTACAAGTGCCCATTTAGCTGTTGATATTAAGCCAGGTAAGTGAGGTAGAAGCCATCTAGCCCTTCAGAAAAAAAAGACTTTGCATAACACAATTTGGTGTGACACCTGGAGAGGTATCAGACATCATCCATCAGGCACAGACTCCAGGACTCTGGGACTTGCTGGAGTCTTCAGGGAGACCCAATCCAGAGGCACTGCTTCTTTATTTCATTTTTTCTTTCACAGCATTGTAGCATCAAAAGCTATTATCATCCATCCACACAACCCACTTCACATTTAAATAATACATCAGTGACCAGAACATGTTTAATTCCTCATAGAATACAGTACGGAAGGAAAAGACTATTCATACCTCGGACTATTCATACCTGGGATCAGCCAGAGCTGATCCCAGTGTTCAGGCTGACATTTCTCCCTCTCTCTCTTTCTCTTCCTCTTATTAGCTCCCACAGAGTCCTAATGAAAGTCTGTGGAGCAGCCTAGGATTCACCAGCCTCCTACTGCCATGCTAAACACCAGGTCACCTTTCTGCCATACAGGTCAGTTATTTTGGCACTTATTTGTAATTCATGCTTAGACAGTTGGGCAGTTCCTGAAGTAATGACGTTATCTGTTCTTTACTTCCTTCTCAGTGAATTTTGCAGTAATCACACTAAGCAACATGATATTCACTGATGAAAAATAAACAAAAAGTATAGACAGAGAATGAATATGAATGCCATCATAGGCCCATAAAACCTGGCTGGATCGTAAGCGAGGAGCCTACATTTTCCTGGCAACAGGCAAAAAAATAGTCCTCAGGAGAAAGCGTATTGACTGAGTTGGATCAAGAGTGATATTGTCAGAGTACACATTATGAAGCCCAATGTACAGATAATGAAAAGAACCAACCCATTAAATCATATAGTCTCTTAAATAAGATACTTAAAGCTCTCTTATAAGTTTTGAGGTAATGGCTTTGAGACTAGCAAGCAGTAATCATGCTATAACATCAATATTTTTTCCAGGCTGACATAGTGCATATATATAGTAAAACTTTTCTGTCTGTGATGCTTTTCTCCATCCTTGGATCTTAGAATGCTTTAAACGAAGAGATAAAGTCTAACTGTCTCAGTGAAGAGACTGTGTGAGGGAGTCAATGCCAAAGTCACATACAGGTCAGGATCAGGACTGCAAGCAACCTGTGAAAGAAAATGGAAGTGGAGCCTGACTGAATGGATGATATGTCATTACCCATATCATGAGAGTCTTGAATTGTTCCAAAACAAGAAGAAATGAATGATAACATAGCTAGGAAGAAAAAATTATGATTATCCTAGATTTAGAATATCTTACTTTCCATCCTGTACAAAGAAGTGTCCACAACCTTGAGACTCAGCTACCTTGTCAAAGTTACAGAGGTGAATACCAGACTGACACAAATTAATTTATTTCAGATAATGTATACACAAACCCAAATAAACAGGATGATTTTATACATGTTTAATTTTTTTTTTTTTTTTTCTGAGGTTCACAGACACAGTTTGTTCAAGGATAAACAGACTAACTCAAAAGTTAGCCCAAAATCCCCTGTGGGGTCTTTATTCAGCATTGTCAGGACATCAAGACTCCTCTGAGGGTTGCTTTGTTAAAGCTGTCAATTCAGAGTTTTATGGGCAGATGAACAAAAGTACTGCCAATGCTCATCAGACCACAGGAACTAAAATAGTTATCCCTCCAGTAGCTGCAGATTAGTTCCATGCATACATCCCAGGGAGAATACTGGAAAGAAACCTGACAAATTAAATAAACCTATTGCCTCCATGTATAGTGTCTCTCACAAGACCTTTGAGGAGAACAGGGCTGGTGGACTAACAGTAATAGCCAGACTCAGGAAGTCTATTTCTACAGTGGAAGTTCATGAATCACTGGTTCTCTGGAGCTTTCTTGAGTTACTGCAGGGACAGCTTATCACTTTAGGATAGGAGAGACCAGATGGTGCAATAACACATTTCCAGCAGTGCCCTAATAGCAGTGCAAAACACTTGTTTCAAATCAGAAGTGCCACAAAGTTGCTGAGGATCCCTATCCTGTTGGTAGAAAAACCAAAATATTAGCATCTTGTTTTTTTTTTTTTTTTTTCTTGCCTTTTCAATTTTTTTCTTTGGAGTTTCCATAGTAGTTACAGGTAGTTGTTATTTCCCCAAGAAATCATAGATGTTGCTTTTTTATTTTATTTTATTTTATTTTTTTCCATGCCTTCTATCCCTCCTAAAGTAAGCTAAACTATCTATCTGCTTAAGCTCAGCATATAGATAAAGGATTTTGGAATAGGACCAGGACTGGAAGCATCTTGTGAGATTAATCATCTGATGTATAGTATCAAAACCCTTTTGCTCTACATTGAAATCCCAATCTATCTAGGTCAGAAAGGCCTTTTATGTTGTGTTTCCCTGCTTAACACCACCACCACAGTACAGCTGTGAGGATTTAAATTTCTGTTTAACAAAGTGAAGATGCAGATATCAACAAAAGTGAACAGGGTACATGAGTCATTCCACTACAACTGCACCCTCTCTCAGCTGTTGTACATAGTATTTGACAGTGTTCAAATGACTAGAAACTACTAAAAACCTGGGAATTAAAGATGGTGCTTCCTACAAACCCTTCTTAAACACTAAACAGTAAATTTTTACTCACTGTTGGCTAATTGAAGCACATAGTCTGTATTTAATCACATGACAATTTTAGGAGAAGAGGGAACAAAGACCCATGTTTCTAAAATGACCGAGTTCTGAGTACATTTTTTCCTCTCACACATTTAATTAGTTGAGTAGACAGAGCACTACAGTATCTCACACACATGGAGGACCCATGCTCTACAGTGAAACACTGATGCTCTACAGTGCCTTATAATATAGAGCAAATAACTGCACACAATATAATTCCTTCATCTTGTTCCTTAGAATTTAATATTGAGTATAAAGAGACAAAAGACATTCAGTTAAATTCCTTGCAAGAAATGCAATTAAAGCATTATTTTTAAGCATGCCTACATGAGGAAAAGGTAAAGATAAAGGTCTCTTTGAAAAATGTAGATGTTGTCATTGGTGTATGGTGTTACATGTCATTTGTTTGCTGAAGTCTTCAGTCTTTCTGCAAGAAATGAGTGAAAAAGAGACAGGTATAAGGTAGGATGCAATCTACTGCATCCAAACATCATTAAGTTCAAATGGGAATCTTTTAAGAAAAGTCTTTTTAAAAAATTATGTCAGAAAAATCCAGACTGCGCACTTTTCTTCAGAATTCAGCTATTTGTAAAAATAAAAATGTTTAATGGAAGACGGCCTTGCTCACCAAAACAGTGATGAAAATAAACTTTCATCCAAATTTTTCCTGGATTCCTGCCAGTTTGTGTTTGAGTTCTCCTGCCAGCTCATGGTGCAGTTCCTTAGAGTCTGAGCATGAAGATTTCTGAAATATGTGTCTCCAGAGAACTGGTTAAAGCAGACTCTTTTGTAGGTGGCTGGCCTGCTATCATTTGGGGAGAATGCTGACATAAAAGTTTTTCAAATAAAATGAGAAGAAAACAAAACAAAACAAAACAAAATAAACAAACAAACAAACAAAAAACACTGAAATTGCAGAAAACTGGGAGAATACAGAATTTAAGTAATGAATGCACTGGATGAACAGTTTTCCCTCTAGTTTATCTGTTTACATAATGTCATCAAACAGATATTTAAAAACTTCCCAATAATTCAGACAGAAAGGGCTGCTTCAATCAAACTGGAATAAATATAGTGAATGAGACAGGAATCAATCCACTGAACTGTAAGGATAAATAAATATACTTTGAATGCTATCACACTTGCTGTTCATCGTCTGACAGTTCAATAAGCAGAAACATAGGAAAAAAATCTCATTACTATTCTGAATATGTACTTCTATACAGACAATACATATATGTCATAAATAAACAAACAAACAAAAAACCCTCTCAGATATTTAATTTATCAACAAAATGAGCTTTGTTTTAATTCAATTTAGTTTATGTCAGCACAATATAAAATAATATTATGAAATAATATTAATTATTATGATTAATATATTTTTATATATGTATTAATATATTCATATATTAATATATATGTCTGTTATGCAAGTGTTTGTTATGACTTTATTTGGAGGGTAATGAAGTCATTTTTAATTATTCAGATGGGAAAAAAAAATCCCAGATAAATATATACATCTATTTTATAGCTTAGATTTCTTAATAAAGAAACTATATCCAGGTGATTATTCAAATAATGACTGCTTAACTCTTGAACACATGTTTGTAAATACTAAAAGAGAGAGAGGGGGTAATGCTATTGTGGACATCATGGTATATGAACATAAAATTGAAGGTCTCATGGTTTATTGTTCACACAGGAAGACTGTACCTGAAAGCTCTTCTCTTTTCTTCAACCATAATTTAGATATCATTAAAATTACTCATTAATGAAAAGAGTTATTTTGGAAAAATAAGCTCAGAAAGCATGAAAATATGAAAAATAAAGTGTGAGATCTTAGTTCTGATGTCAAGTGTGAATTCATCTACTTTGTACAGTTAGCATGTCTGGTATTTAAGAAGTTTGACAGATGTTAACATTACCTCCCCGGTGAGTCACCATTCTCATCAAACAGGATCATGTCCCCAGAGACCCCAGTAAAGTTGGTCTTCATGAGGGACTCCAGGAGCTTCCGGCCATCAATGGGCTTCATGGCGTCACAGAGGCCTACATAGCCCGGACACAGCGACAGCTGCATATTGTGGAGGCCATATGCCATCGAGTATATCGCATTGATTACAAAGCCCATCTTGGAGTCCTGAACGTGCTGCGTTCTCAGAGTCATCTGGCCTGTTGAGGAAGATCAGAAAGCAGGTGTTTAATGTACAGGGCTGAAACACAATCAGCTCCTTAGACATCTGTTGATGTTACTTATAGTGTAAGTCTTCTTAAGCAGCTCATAGTGGATGCTGTTCTCAGTATGTGCACTGACCATGTTTTTTGTTTGTTTGTTTGTTTGTTTGTTTGTTTTGAGAGGAAAAAAGGAACTAATGAACAGGTTCCCTTTATATATTTTACTATCCAGCTGATGCCTTTCTCTGTGCAACTCCACAGCTCACACATATTGTTTTTTTTCAAAGTGTCAGTCACTAACTATAACATAAAGTTTCTGTGATTCCAGGAACTTCTCTCAGACTTCAGAAATCTTTCTAAAGCCTCAGAAATCTTTTTGTGAATACTGGAGGTGGAAATGCTAACATGGGTTATATCCAGTAGGGGCCTTGAAGACAATACTTTTATTTTTAGAGACATGGGAACCAACAGAGTGACTTGGCATATTTTTTTTTACTGTATCAAAAGATTGCCATGCTAATAACTCTCTTATCAGCATGTTCCTTGCCCCTCTCTATTTGCAAAGTGAGGATAATGATGCAATGCAGATGACTGCATTAAAATGTCCATGAAGAGTTTGATGATGTGCCTAGTTGATGACTCTTAAGTGAGAGAATTGATGTCTGCTTAAGACAGAATTGGTAACCATACTTTTCTGGCTTTTAATATCTAATGTCTGGATTTCTATTTCCTGCTTAAGCTTCTAAGCTTCTGTAAGATATGCAGTAAAAAATCCTTTCAGCAGCCACCCTGAAGGGCTGTATTTTTATTTTTATTTTATTTATTTTTTTTAAGTGTAGTGTTATTAATGACATATTCACCCTGTTGGCAGCACCAGCCCAGATAAGGAAGAGTAGGCTGGAGGTTTTCTGTGTCACATGTCATCAGCAAAGCTGCCAGCTGCACTTCAGCCACCAGATCATTAACACAGGGGTGGGGACAAGAGTCAGAGACAAAACAACTTCATCAATGGTGCTGGGAATTTGTCAGGCACCTGGAAAGATTTGGCTCTGGAGGGAGGACATGCAAAGAGCTCTTCAGTGTCTGTTTTAGAACATATGCTCTTCTTTTATCAATCAAACAGTTGTCCCCAGGGAGCCCTGTGTGTGGGCAGCCAGGAGCAAAGGAAATGCAAATAACCCTCTCTGTCCACTGCATGAGTTTCCTTCCCAAAGAGTCACTGGCATGCAGCAGGGATGGAGTTTACACATGCCCATGTCAGCTGCAGGAGCTGCACAATGTGAGGAGTAAGATATGCCATGAACAGATGGTGTACAGACAATTGTTTCTTGAAAGAAATGAAGACTAATATATGGCTCTGTGTGTGGCACACATCTACTGTACCATTATCCACCCCAAAGACAAGCACCCGATCTGATGTCTAGGCACTTTCTGTGGATATGAACAAGGCTTTCCAGCAAGAGCCTGATACCATCATAAAATAGGTGCATCTACATTTTGATGGTGAATAACATCACTATGCAGTTCTAACTACTGAAAAAATTTGGAGTACTGAAAACATCAGGAGTAGTAACAAAGATACATACTTTGCATTGAAAATCATTGTGTAGAGGTCAGTAAGTGAACGAGTGGACTGAGAGGTCTCTTCTCTCCTTCTACTTCATGCTGGAACTGGCACTCCCAGTTCCAGTTCTAGTCAGCCTCAGGAACAGTTATTAACGTTTTGGATAGTTAAGTGATATGAGCTTGAAGTATCTGTAATAGAATTAAAACTTGGAAACAACATGCAGTGTTGCTTGTTTCTTCTGTTCTACCAAGGTATTGCTTTTTCCTAATTAAAAATAATAGGCATAAAAACTGCAACAGTGGAGTACATGTAAAACCCATATTAGTTGAAATTAAGTGGAAAATTGAACAAGCATATTACATTGCAATACACAAAACTTGTTTTAACCAATTATTCACCCTCAAAATTAACAGCTCACAAACCATGCAGTTAATTATAGTAGCCATTAGAATGAATCAGATTTGCATCAGCAATAGTATTTTTTTATGAAACAATATTTCAGCTGCTTTATTGCATATGATTGCTTGAAATTTAATAACTAAATTTTTACAGTAGCACTCTCCACTGGGCTTTGTGCTTCAATTTTATTGAATTATTATTCTGATTTTCTTTAAACATTGAATCTCATTCAGTTCACCTGATAATTTGTAATGAGGCTGCTTAGCTCTTCGTAGAGGCTGCTAGCAATTGTCAAAGGATTTGTGAGGGAATTAACTGTTTTAGAGAATTTTAATATACTTCCTGAAGCTGCAGAACATTTTACTGAGATGTTATCTGGCCCACTTTGCTACATAGGGGCATATCCAACCTGCCATGTCTCACTGCCAGTTTACATGACCTCATGTAAAGTTAAGGTGAACATCTCAAAAAATAAGACAAAATGATTTTTTTTTCTTTTTAATGTACCATAATAGAGTCTTCAAAAATTGCAATATTTACAACAGCAGCAATGACAAAAATTAAGTCTGAAAGTGATTTTCAACACTGTCTTCATAAACTATTTATGCATGTCAGACTAGAAGCATATACATAACCCTACTGACATCAGTGATCCTATTAGTGGTTTTAAGACAGGTCTGAATACACAAGTTAGGAGCTCGTCTCTCAGCCAGAAAAATAAATAAATAAATAAATAAATAAATAATAAGTCTATCTCTACAGAAAGTATGATTTAGGTAGCCTTAAATGCACTGTTCACTCAAGTGTCATTTTCCACTGTCTTCACTGGAACTCAAACATTCTTAAATTTATTGATGAGTGCTATCTTCAGTCAAGAGCCTTTCTTGATGCAGGGTCATCATGAGATTGAGAGGTGGCACTGATGAATTTAATGATGATGACGCTAGTGATGTGCAACAGAATTGACTGCACTGATTAAACTTTTAATCAAGAAAAATGTAAAATTCTAATAGAAGTTGAGGAGTTCCTAAGAATAAGAGGACAGGGAATAAATACACAGGGGAACTCATATGCTTGCTCTTAATACCCATAGCAGAACTTTTCTATCACAGTCAAAACAAAATCTATTTCTATAAAAGATCTTTTTTGCTCTGTCTGGTACATTCCCATAGGAGACAAATTTGTAAACAAGGAAATTAAAAATTTTTGCTTTTCTATGGGCTATGAAAAGCTAATGTGATGCCACTGAATTTTGGCATGGACAGATAAACAGGCCATGTCCAGATGAATGTTTTAGTTCAGTTCAGGAGTGGGCTTTCAAAGTCAATCTCCAAATCATTTCTGCTGACTGTGCTTTCATTTGCATTGAGTGTCACAGTCTCAGAGAAGTGTACTGAATTTCTTTCAAATTAAACTAAACTGGATGATGTGCTGCAGGAAAGCACCTGTTGTACCACAGCTACAGGTGGGCGTTTAAACCATACAACGAGGCTAGCACCAGTTTGGAGCAAAATTCCCCCAAGCTATGAATCCTTCTTGGCTCCCAGCATTTGAGAACAGACTCAGTGTCTCTCCCAGGAGCAGGAGGCACAGAGGCAGCAAGTGCATGGGCCAGGTACAAAGCCAAGCTTTGTAGGTCTCCAGTGGATACGTATTGCAATTTTGACAGGCTGAAATACCTATTCTGTGGCTGAGATGGTATTTTTTTTTTTGTTTGCTTGTTTTGTTTTTTGAGATGTAGCTTACCTTCCCATAAATATTGTTTGAAATAATATCAAGTTATTTATGAGTCTGTGCTGAACTTGGTGATTATGTCTACAGGATTATAGAAAGTGATCTGTACTGCAGTACATTAGAACCAATAAATATTAACTCTGTGTCATGCTAATTACTGCAGAAATAAAAAATCCCGCCTCCTGCAATTAGGAGGTACAAGGCAGTGGAAGAATGCAGAGTGAATTAAATCATACTGAACCTTAATGAAGAAACTGGGATAACACTTGTAACACAGAATGACCAAATTTGGAGGAATTATCTGAGGAAAAAAAAAAATCTCAGTGGTTAATGCACATGAGCAGATATCTGTTTTCTATTATGTTTATTCCTTAGTCTTTCTTGCCCAAGACATTTTGGAAGTTAAATAAGGGCTTATCCTATTATTTTCCAAGCTGTGAGATCATGAGGATTTGGATTCTGGATCTGAAGTGACACAGCCATTTCTGTCTAAAAAATACTATTGAGACACACCCTGTGCCTTCTTTGTCAAATCAGACAACCCACCCGTCCTTCAGTTTCCCATTCAATATTTATTTTCTACTACATTTTATTTGCCATTTTTCCCTAGACTGAATATTCCTCAGGAAGAGGACTGCTTCTTATCATCTTCTGCCTATCCTGTGCATAAGGCAATGGGGCTTGTTACTGGCTGGAGTTTTTAGGTGCTAATGTACTGTCTCTGAAAAGTAAAATTATCCTTGATTTATTAAAAAAAAAAAAAAAAAGGAAAAAAAATAAATAATTACCTATAGATCATTTAGAAATCTCCTGTTATGTAATCAAATCACATATAAGATTCAGGGGAGCATGAATTAAACATCAACTTAAGAATTTGCTGCCTTTGGAACGTGTAGTTAATGTATCTTTTTTTCTTTTTTCCCCATGTAAATATGCATTCTGCATTCCTGGATGTATCTGTATCTATCCCTAGGACTGTGACTTCACCAAAGGTGAAGAGAGATTTTACAGGTTGTAAACATCCAGAGCATCACAGCCTGCACGTTTTCTGCCCACACTGGTGGGAGAGACCCAGTTTAGGATGCTCCAGCTATATCACAAGATAGGATAAATGCAGGGCAATCACACATGGTGCTACTCAGCTACTCAGTGAAGCTCAGGTGTTAGCACTTCAGAGTTGTTGAGGCAGCCTCATAGGGTCAACCTGGAAGCTGGTTCAGGGCACTGGGCGGAGCTGGCTCTGAAAGCAGCTTCAAACCCCTTCAGCTCAGGCTGCCCAGAACCTCGTCCAGATTTT